CCAAAACTGATGCAACATTATTTAGAACTAAGCAGAGTAAAGTCGTTAAGCCACAATATATCGATATAGATGATCAACTGCAGTTGAGAGAAAGTGTAAAATTCTTAGGCATCTATATTGATGAATTTTTAGGTTGGACAACACATGTATTCAAACTGCTGAAGAGGCTCAATTCCATTTGCTATGGTTTTAGGGTGATATCAAGATATCTAAATAATACGAGTATGAAAATATTGTACCATGCTAATTTTGAAAGTATTCTAAAGTATGGGATTATTTTTTGGGGACGCAATAGGTTTATTCAAAAAAATTTTGTTGTTCAAGAAAGAGCAGTACGTCTGCTAAAGGGACTAAATTTCAATGAAACTTGCAAGGGGGTGTTTAAAACTGAAAAAATCATGGCTGTGTATGCCATCTATGTGTATGAGTGTCTTATATTTTTTTTCAAAAATAAAAATTTATTTGAGCTTCAGGTGCAAACTGTTTATGATACTCGAACAGTCAATGTTACTTATCCAATACACAGATTATCCTCCACAGAAAAAAGCCCTAATTACATGTGTTTAAAATTTTTTAACAATCTACCAAATGAAATTAAAAACATAAGCAGTTTACATAAATTTAAAAAGACTATTAAGCAATTTCTAGTACAGTTAGAGCCTTATACAATAGATGAGTTCTATGGGAGTTGTAATAGTATAAGATAGTAGCTGTTTTAAGATAAATAACCATGTAACACAAAAAAAGGTCTCATGTAAACTACTATAGTTATGGTGACAGTGACGCAACATTTCATTTTGTAGTGGCTATACAATTTTTGTAATGTCACTGTACAATTTGGAATATAGATTATTATTATTATTATTATATATATATATATATATAACAACAAATAGAAAAATAATGGTCAAAATCGGCAAAAGGAAGGAAAGTGGATTCGAGCAGAAAATAGGATATATAACCCGAGTGATACGTATTTCTGGTCCGAAATGAGTGGACATACGCAACCACAAAAGTAGATACATATGCCCATACATCCGGATACGGGCGTAACCCGAGGAGACGAAGATGGATAGAAAAAAGTGACACACACACCAAGACCCTAACATGAGCCAACCTACACGTTGTAGTATAAAATGGCTAGATGACCTCGAATTTTCAAGACGACATCTAACCACAACCACGCTGCCGGTTATGGCCGCTTGCTGTGGTACTTCAAGCCCAAAGGATCTACAAAGAGAAAGGGATCCCTTTCCATCTTCGTTTCAAAAGCAAAGGTTAAATGCGCACACCATCTGAAAGGTTTGATGATATCTAACACGCCCCTCGTACTCTTCATATTCTCTCCGCTGCGAAAGCTTTGACAGGGCTTCGCTGTCTGTGCAGACAAAGCCTGTGAAGCTTCGAAAATACCTTTTCCCGGCAAAATTGGAATTTAGTTTTCTGTAAACTGCTTACGCCCCACAAATTGAAAAACAAAAGATGCACGTGTTTCCGTTGGTCTGTGAAATTTTCCCTGGCAACACATAAATTGTTCTTTAATTCAAGTTCGTCGACGCAGATGTGGAAGGGAAGTTTGACAGGAGCACGTATCGGGTTCTCCGTTGAAACTCTGAAACGCAACTTCGTACAGAATTGAAATTTACGACGTATAATTCAGAAATGAATGCACATAGGTATCGTAAAAAGAAAAAGGAAACGGCGCTAGGGAGGATGAGAAATACGACGTAAGGGCGAGAAGACAAACGTCTAGATTTGATTATCGAGGAAGTGTGAGACTGCATGTTTATGTGCTATACTTTATAGCGCGCGAATTTTGTGCTCAGAGTGTTCTGGTTGGAGCACAATTTGTCTCAGATGTTTCCGCTGCTTTTTATGAGACTTTATTTGTTTTGTCATGTCTATGTGTGAGTCAAAGATGGCGCCGACCTACAAACTTGACAGTTTGCAAAGAGGTCCATCAAAAGGAGCAAGTTGACAATGAGAAGGGATTTTTGGAAACTCGTGCCTTGATGAGATGAAATATGGGGTAGCAACTTGTATGGAAGTATTTGCTATTTGAATGAGTTTATTTGGAACTCTGTACTCATATTGTGCAGTACGCCGTCTAGGGGTGGAAATTTGTTAAATTTAAAAATGGAAAGTTGAGCGTTATAGCCAGTCATCAAAAAGCTATATTCCAATCTGGCTTTCTTGAAAGAATCTCTCCATAGGTATAATAATGTTAAGATATGTCAATCATTTTAACGGAATGTCCCATATACCCTCAAGAAGAAAGAACATCTACTCACTGTTAAAATAAATGACTCAACTTCGAAGTTACCTTGTATATGAAATGCGTTATAGAAGTATTCTCCATACAATCACTCTAATATCTTGCATCTTTAAAAATGCAAAACAATATTATATTCTTCATTTGCGTTTTATTTCCCACGCCTATTGGCGGGGACGAAACGAGATCGCGAATTTTTTTCCTAAATGAGATATTATGGCTTTTGGATATTATATAACATGTACATGATGAGAGCCATGTCACTAATTTCCGTCGGTCTGTCTGTCTGTCCGCAAATCTTTTAACTAGTAACTTGAGAAGTGTTTCTCAAACGTCGATTGAATTCTTACACAATGTTGCTACTATGCCAAGGACGCAAAATCTTTTAGTTTTTCAAAATCGGTCCAGCGACGGCGGAGAAAAAGGTAATACACGTAATAAGTAAAAATCGCTCCAACTCCATTTTTTTGGTGTTTCAGACGATCTCGATCATCTTCAGAAAAGTTTTTCTATGGGTTAAGAATTGAGGGATCTGGGTGCAGAGGGTGGGGGAGGATATATCTCAATTGTTTGACGTTGGTATATTTATACGCCTCCAACCCGACTAATTCTACGCACATGTTAGGTATATTTCACTCATCATACATGTCTTGGTACATGTACCCTTAAAACTTAGAAATATCTCCAACAGTCGATGGTCGATACGTGCAACATGACGTGGTCCCTCGATGGACAAGCATCATCGTCGGTGGTCGTACGTTACGGTTGTATATCGCTTCCATATTGCTGCGTGTAGAGTAGCACTGTGTATGGCGAAGTCCTATATCGTCATTCACGTGGGCGTCGCAATGATCATGTGCACCCGCAATTCCTCATTTAGTTTTTTATTAAACATGTTCGTGGGTAAGTTTTTTCTCAGAAGGGCTAACTTGTGCCAAACATAATCCTTTAGCGTAGCGTGGGAAGTACAGAGTCAACTTACTTGACGTCATATTTTTAACTAACTTTCTATATATTTGAAAACGCATCTTTAGTCTCTGAGAAAGGTTCTAAGCTTAGAGCGATCTTCAATAAAGGTTGCCACATCTAGACACAGAAGATTAGCTCGTTCAGCAAACGTTCAGCAGTCTTACGGGGTAGCGCATTTATGCTGAATAGCAGTAGCCGTCGAATAGCTTTGACAATTCACATCATTCAATCCTGCACGTTGACTGAATGTGCTGCATACCAAACGAATTTCCCTTGATCCATCTTCCCTACAACGTTACGTCTACGCTCAAGTGTTAGCTTTTCATTTCGCATAAAATTTCTGCAAATTACTTTTTCTATTGAAAAAGTTCGTTAAAATTATTCCAGCAAATGAAGTGTGAAAAAAGGTGGAGATCCAATTACCATCCTTCAGCCATTCGCGAGCTTCTCATGAAACTGTCAGTTATTAAATCTGAGCATCGCCTCCATATTATTCGAAAGAATAGCTACTCGAAACCCGTCAATTTGCGCTTTAATTGTTGATTAACGACCCCGCGCGGTGGCGGCCGGCGTCACATTTATTAATTACTGGTTAGAAGCCTTCTATGTGATGATAAACTGGATGACATCCGCCTGTCGAGATAAACAACGTCCTGTTTATTCATTAGCGATAGTTGTCCTGGCTGCGTTTGTCGAGGAAGTGAAGCCGCAAAAAATGAATGTCCTTGGAAAGTGACTTCTCTTGACCATCTAAGGCAGACTTGCTACACACAATTTGGATTATTCAAGAGACAATAAGAACTGTGTGATTGACAAACGGGCCAGTTTTTAAGAACCGTTTTGGGAGTAATATAGCATTTGAGTCACAACCTCAACAGTTTATTACAAAGTGCAGATATGTTACTAAAAGCGAGTCATTAAAATTACTGTATTACACTTTTGTTAAAAGTTTACTTGAATGTGGTTGTACCGTTTGGTTTCCTTAGTGAGCCGTATTCATAAAACAAAGGATATCCTTGAATTGCAAATTTTGAAGGAAATACTCCAGATGGTATTTATAATAATTTGAAGTAAGTGTTTTTGCTTTTTGAGTATAAGCATATCCTTCAAAGCAGTGACATAAGTAAAAGGATATTCATAATCTTCACCTTATTCTTGGCATACTAAGCATAATCCTTAAAAAATTCTGAATGTGGTCAGTAGCAGACTCAACTTCGTAACGAAAGGTGGTCAAACGATGATGGCGGAAATTGTGGATGTTAGGGATGTTAAAACGTACAAACCTCGTTCACCTTCACTTGGTCGTGACAGATTTTGAGTTGAGAATGAGTAAACTCGAGGAGGAGCACTTTTATGTTTTCATAAAATGAAGATATGTCTACGCTATCTCGGTGACCGTCGATATCAACAAGGTATTGGTCAGCACAGTTGCACAGTCGAACGAATGGATCAAGTTTCCAACTACCAACCATGAAGTGATGGAGGCCAAGCGGATATGGCAAAGCATGTATAAATTTCTGACAGCAATTGGTGTAATTGATTGTACACATATAGGAATCCTGAAACCAAATCGCCATGGAGATGAGTATATCAACCGAAGAGGGAAACATACTTTAATTGTGCAAGCCACTTGTGATGCCAGAGAGATGTTCACAAGTGTTGATTTCCGTTGGCCTGGGTCAGTGCATGATTCCAGAATATGGATACATTTATAGACTAGATCACAACTAATAAATAAAGCAAATGTTGTACTTCTTGGCGATGACGGTTATGGTATTGAGCCATGCTTTATGACTCCCTTCAGAAATCCTACTCCAGGTGCAGAAATAAATTATAATAAGTTTTTAAAACAAGAAAGAGTTATAATTGAACGCTGTTTCGGCCAAGTGAAACGCCGGTTTCCTATCTTACAGTATGTTTGCCGCGTAAAGTTGGAAAATGTGTCGAAAATAATTATTGCTTGTATTGTACTCCATAATGTTGCGAAGAGCTTGGGCGATCCTGACTTTGAGCTAGTTGAACAAGATCCAGATGAAGATGAAGGAAATCATGAGAATGATGAACTTCCTCTCCGCCAACTAGGTCAACAAATAAGAAGAAACTTGCGTATTATAATAAATAGATTTACTGATTAAAGTGTATTTATAAGTACAATAAGTTTTATTTTCATGAACATCATAAGTTACAGGTGGCTTCTGACGCTGCATCATTTCTAATTTCGTTTTATAATACTCTTGTTGTAAAATACGTGTTTGGTACTGCTGTAATAGCACTAGACGTTGAAGTTCTTTTGTAGTTAACCCTTTGGTTTCCTCAGTTTCGTACTTCTCTGTTGCTAATTTTCTTTTTGCTCACTGCGCTCGGTTATAGTTCACTGCCTTCTTCTTGAACACTGCCAACCTGAATGGTACCTATAATTTTCCCAATTGTAAAATTACAGTCACCTTCCATAGCTTTCAGCAACTTTCTTTCCCAATCTAACAATTTAATTGCTTTATTACCAGTTTTTTTAGATCTGTTTTTTCTTCAATCTTGATTTCATGTTGTTGATTTTTTTTAATAAGCCTTTAGTATCTAATGGTTTACCGAATGTTGATTCGTATTTTTTCAACATCTTCTTCAAGGCATCCTCCTTTCTCATTTTTATTTTTGGAACTTGTGACTTTTGCAAAATAATGGGAGCAATGGCAATTTCATTAGCGATGAACTGCAGGTCGTTGCCGTTATTTTCTATAGCTTCCTCATCACTTGGGGATGACATGCTTATTAATTTGATAAAAAACTGTGTCCAGTAAGAATACGGAACGGTCTGTGTAAGCTCTGGAGTACAACTGTCAGTGATGCTGAGTGAACAAACTCCCACGTCAACTACAAGCTGGAACAAGCAGGACATGTCGCTCAAAATACAAATACCAGTCAACCTTTTACTTCTTCTTGGAGGATATCCTCGCGAGTACAAGGTAATCATTATGAATATGAAAACAAGGATATGCTTATACTTCTACCTTTTTCTCAGAAGCAAAACCTTATACTTTTACCTTATGCTTCTGAGGATATGCTTCTCTTTTATGAATACGGCTCATTATGTTACATGGATATCGAAATTTTTAGCATACCTGTATTTAGAAGCATATAGAGCATATCCTCCATTCAACTATACGAAGAAAAATCTCTTAGATCATTTTGACATCAGTCTTGAATACCGAAGATTTCTGTTGAGCTGCTACTGTGTGTACAAGCTGATAAGCAATCACATTGGCTGTGGTGAAATTTTGATCAACTTAAACTTTACTGTGTGCAGGTTGAATAGGAACTATACTGAATTTTATGTACTAAAAGCTTTTACAAATATTATGCTAGCATCCCTTTCTATAAAATATCGAAATACTTCGGTTAGGTATCTCTTTGACTTTGGTATTCATGAATACACAGGGTATTCAAAAAATAGACGGAGATACTCTAGAGAGTGATTCCTTGTTAAAAAATATGAAAAAAGTTTCCATAAACATGAGTCCGGAAATGCAGAGTTTTTGAGAACGAAAATTGATGATGGACACTGCCAACATTTGTTGTAGTGTACTTTATGGCATGGTACCTATTGGAAAAGTTGCAATAACACTTTTTCCAAGAAATTTTTGTGATTTCTTGTTTTCCAAGAAACTTGTGATTGTTTTATCAAAGATTAATAAACCAATTTTATCCAGTGACATAAAACGGTTCTTATTTTTTACCTGTAGATGCTTGGCAATAATATTCACTAAGGTGCCTCTCGGAAAGCCACTGTATCTTGAAAACTCTGCATTTCTGGACCTATGTTTATACAAACTTTTTTTCATATGTTTTAACAAGGAATAACTCTCTGGAAGATATCCGTCCATTTTCCGAACACCCTGTCCACAGGCTGTTCCATAATTAATGGTAAATAATTTAACAACGGATTCCTTTTCAAAGAAATGTTGAGATTAAAATGATGTTTCTTAGTCCAAAAGTCAAAGGCAACCAAGATAAAGGGTGATAAACTTATTGTATTTTTTTTATTGACCATAAATTTAGCATTTATTCTTTGTTTTTAACGAAATTTGGCATGTATATCCATAAACTATTTAAATTTCTTCATTATACTTCGAATGAGTGGTAAAGTACAAACGATGAATTAACTTAAAATTAAAGATTAATCAGAAATAAGAATTATCGATCTTTTCCAGCAAATATTCGACATTACCTCCATTTCTCTCAACACATTTTATAATTCTTTTGCTCATTTCGAAACGATTCAGCAGCATTTTGAATTTTTGCCATTAATTCCTCTCTTGTGTTTACTGTATTTTCATAAACAATTGGTTCCATATATCCCCATACACAAGATCTAATGGATTAAAATGTGGACTTTGTGCGGGCCAAGGCCTTCGACTTCCATGTCCTATCCAGTTAAAATTAGCGTCAAGATATTCTCTCACCTGCCTAGCAAAGTCCGCAGGATCACCATCTTGCATAAAAGCCATATGTCGGCGCAGATTTAAAGGCAAATCTTCAAAATAATCAATGGGCTTTGTTTTTAAGAAGTTTAAATATAATTCTCCATTTATATTTGGAGGTAACTCGTATGGTCCCAAAAAAAGTGTCTATCACACCACACCAAATATTAATTTTAAATTGCTGACGGAAGTGTCTTTCAGTAAAAAGGTTAGGATTTGCAATATCCCATAAATGCTTGTTTCTTAAATTAAAAACTCCCCTTTGGATAAAAATCGAGTCATCCGTTAACATAATTTTATTTATAACTAAGGGATCTTGATTCTGTTGAGCCTGGAAATAGCGGGCGAAAGCTAGTCTTGCTGGAAGATCTGCATCCAAAAGATTTTGTTCAGGCGTAAAGCGATATGGATAAAGATGTTCGCAATAAAAATTCTCAAAACTGATTATTTACAAATTCCAGTTCTTGCTGTCATACGCCTTACACTTATTTCTGGATATTCAGCAACCTGGATTAACACTTCTTCTTCTTGATCCACATTGTCTATTTGGACATCCAACGACCCGCTTTGGCCCCAAGTCTCTGGTAAGCGTTTTTTAAAAGATTAAAATATGGTTTCTCCACAAAACGTCGACAAGCTCTTGAACAGCTGAAATTTTTTTGGACATATACTCAAACCATATCTCGTTTTTCCAAATTAGAAAATAATGCTTGTCTAGTCATCTTAAACCAAAGTGGTAAATACACTGGAACTAATACTAAAAGTGCAGCAATAAAAGGTAATAGATTACGGCACTAAACGTGTGAGTTTGAACTTTTATAACCACGATCAAAGTAAGTGATGAGAACGTAAACCGTGACGGTGACAATGACGTTTATAATTTATCTCAGGCACAGCCTTCTTGAAAAATATTTTAAATAAAGTTAAAGTAAAGTTTTGTTGTGCATTGAAAACCTTAAATGTAAATATCTCGAAAACTGTGAATCTTAGCGAAATTTTTATAGTTATACCTTTTTCAAGCAAGCATGATTGCACAATGCATATTTTAAATAAAAAACTAAATTTTACCAAGCGTAAAAAAGTAACGAAGTTTAAAAAAACAGAAAATGTTGCTGGTGGCACCCTGTACAAGATAATTTGAAAAAGGGCTAATTTTTAGATTTGCCATAGAAAAAAACCCTCATGTACCAAACTTCGTTAAAAATGAAGAATAAATGCTAAATATATGGTCATAGTTCAAAAAAATTACAATAAGTTTGACACTCTGTATCTTGGTTGCCTTTGACTTTCGGACTAAGAAAATTTAACTTAATCTCAATATTTATTTGAAAGAAATCTGCTGTTAAATTATTTAACATTACTTATGGGACAACCTGTATACGAAAGAAGAATATAATATTTAAAAACTGTTCAATGACGTACACCTTTGATAGCTTTTAAGTATTTAGGAGTGGAATTTACGTTCAGGAATATATATTATTAATTTGCGTGTGGTACTACTATTGAATTTTTGGTATACGCAAATAGGGTTTTTTAGTACCATTAATCAATGTTACCATTTTTTTATGTTTGTATATTTGTTTTTCATCACTTGCATAGTGTTTCTCTATAATTGGATCTTGTATCTGTTTAAAAATATTTGAATAATGTACAATAATGGAAAAGCCCGAACACTGTTCTAAACTTACGCTGTTTTCGTGGAAAGTGAAATTAGCGGTATATAACTTAGGCAACAGTATCATGCTGATCACGTTTTAGTTGTCTATTTGAAATTAAACTCAAAAGTTGATTTATTATCATGCCATCACATGTTTTAATATGCTTAAGGTACATAGGAGGAACCAGGACAAACGAACACACTGTGAGGAAAGAATTTCCTGTGTGACACCCAAACCATTCACCAGTCATCGTGAATAAGTGCATAGCCTTATTCGTTCAGATTTCTTAAATAATCAGCAATTAGTTGTAGATAAACCCACGTGCTTATTCGACTACAAACCAGTAATATGTATTCTTTCAACGAAAAAATTGATTGTGCAAGGTCGGTGCTGTGCGTTGAATTTAATTTTTTTACTATTACAAGGACAGCGTAAAAAATGTTCAATATATGTTCAAAGGATTTTCTCGGTCACACAAATATATCATAACACATAAATATAAATAAATAAAATGGCTCTTTCAAGTACCTGCCTTCATGTAGTGCATGAAAGAACTACTATCTACGTGCCAGACTTATGTTTATGCAATGAAGATCGATGACGGGGATTTTTGAAACTACCAATTCAGTTGTGAATAAAAAAGCATGTGGAACGCAAAATATTATGGCTACTGAAAACCAGTTGCATTCATAAACAGTTCCGTTAATAAACTTTGCGATCCGCACGCACATTCTTGGATAGACTGCTAAATCGTACATCAAATTTTATATAAAAAAAATCTAGAGGCCCTTAATTTCAACTCAAATTATTTGGAAATTACTTTTGCAGAAGCGTTTGTATGGGATTCCTAAATACTCGAAATGCATAATATATCTTATGTAAGATGATTCAAACAGGTATACCGATTGCGAAATTCTTTGAGTTTCAAATGAGTTTTTTGATATTACGCAGTGATGGGGCATCTACCTATACTTTAATCGTCTACATGTCGATGTAGATAACGTTCAGATACAAAGTATACAATGCGTGTACAATGTAAACAATACGTATACAATCTATGCAATGGTATAGACAATGTATAGAATATAGTATAAGTAAGGTTAGGTTTACTGGCAAGCGCCAAAATGATAGTGAACCGGAAAGTATAGAAACTGTATGGTTGAGCGCCCAAAAATATAATAAGATAATCGATGTATTAGAGTTCATTTTTTTCAAAGATTAAAGAAAGCTACGTGTCGCTTAAAATTGCACAGTTAAGTATTGTACCACAATATGCAGCTATCAGCGAGGTACTTAACCAGTTTCTACTTGCCTTATAGAAGCACTTATCAAATCAGAAGGTACAATTAGAAAAGTAATAAGAAAGCATCTGCATTATGAATGACCGATAACGCCCTTGCCAATCCAAATACTGATGATGCTGAATTAAATAAGTCAAATGTATTTTATATTTAATTCAGAAATTTTCCTATTTGTATTTATACCTTTATTAATTATTCAAAAATCTTATATAGGCGTTGCATGTATGCCAGCGACCTAATTGAACGAATGTTAGTATATACATTGTCTACATTGCATACGTTGGCTACATGAATATCAAGACGTATTCAATTACAATTGAATGCGTGTATACAATAGTGATTTTACATGTTGTATGCATGTTTGTGTAAACACATTAAACTATGGTTCAAGTTCAGTTTGTTGCGCCGGTGAATTTGGTAAAATTCTTATATATATATATATTTTTTTATTTAATTCAAGATGACAACCTTCTGTTCACCAGGCTTCCATCAACAAGTGGTGCCCAAAAGAATCCAATTATAGAAAGGCAAGCATCTGAAAGTCAGTTCGATCGTAGCGATGAATATGTTCCGAAAAATGAAGAAACTTCGGATAGTGATGATCCCTGATCAAGAAAAGACGTCGTTGGAGAAAATCAAATCCTGAAACCTGGAAGCGGAACATAATGAAAAAGAAAAGATGGTCGTGCATGCCATATACTACTAAAAACAAAATAAATGAAGCAGAGGTATCAAAAAATGTAGACTGTACTAATTGTAAATTTAAATGTTTACACAAGAAGAAAGAAGCTCAATTTTTTTCAAATTCCTGGAAGCTTGAGTACTGTCGACAAGAAGACTTTATTTTGTCCTGTGTTTCTAGTTTCTTGCCTAAGGTTCACAGAGTTCGTAGCGGTACAGGTATGAGAAAAGAATCTAGCCGTAAATACCGTTTGAATACAGACGGAGAAACCATTCAAGTGTGTAAAAACTGTTTTCTAAAAATTCTAAGTATCAGCCACGGCCCAGTGGATCATGTTGGATAAAAGGGGAAAAAGGACCATCTAATAAAATTCCAGACGAACTTATACAAAAAGTTAGAGCTCACATTGAGAGCCGTTCGACCATGGAGTCTCACTATTGTCATAAAAGCAGCAAAAGATTGTATTAACTTATCCATCAGCAAAATGTATGCGCTATACAAGGAACAGTGTATAGAAAACTTGGAAAAGTATGTTTCGTAAATAACATATCGCAGAACATTCTGTACCAAATACAACGTAGCATTCTTTAAATTTAAAAACCATATCATTGCTGAAGATGTTTATAAAGAGCATTTGCGACGAATGGATGAAGCAAATACCTCAAAAATGGCTGATAAAGGCAGTGCGACCTTTGACTTACAAACTATTCTACAAATTCCATCGTCTGGTGTGTCCCAAATGTACTATATTACTCACAGCACCTCCAAATGACGCATTTTGTTATGCATGGACAGAGATCAACGGCAGAGGGGAAGCTCAGAATTTGGAACAGCTTTGTTTCAATGGGTTCAGGCGGTTCCGGATATAAGAGAAATCAGCTTACACTCTGATACGTGTAGCCAATATATAGCTGCATTATTTTTCTATGTTGTCCAGTACACCAACATTCACGTATTACAACACAACTTCCTAGAGAAGGGACATTCCCATATGGAGGTCGCTTCTATCCACAGCGCGTTAGAAACAGCTAAGAAGAATGTTGAAATTTATACAAAGAACGATTTATTTTATATTTTCAAATTGACTTGCTCTAGAAGGGTACGAAACAAGAAGAGTAGCGCCTACCATGTAGAGGAACTACGATTTCCAGCCTTTTTTGGATTTAAATCTTTTAGCAGCAGCTTTTATAAAGAACAGAAACAAGGATGATTCTGGAAATAAGGTATTCTGGCTTAACATAAACGTAATGCGTTACGAAAGAAACCAACCTGGTTGCATTCTTTTCAAGTCCAGAGTATCGTATTTTGAGAATTTATGGCAGAGGCAGACCAGCTTATATTCCTCAAACTATTTTACCGTTATATAAAAATCATTTACCTACCGCTGAGAAAAAAAAACAGCCTTCTTAAGCCATGCAAAAAGACACTATTCCTCAAGAGTATCATGCTTGGTACAGTGCAATCCTAGTTGACAAGAAAAGGAATGTAACATTACCGGAACTGTATCTTATGTAAGCTTATAAGCTTTAAACCTAATCTATACAAAACCAATTTTTTTGACTTGAGCATTTCTTGCAGTAATCAATTTGCTACATATCTTAAAAGGGTAAACTTGCCGAGCATTGGTATTCTATCTTTCGATCACAACTCACATCATATAACGTAACAAATAAAAAACTATCGTCGACGTTATTAGTTTGTTACCACCTTACTAGGGAAATAAAGTATAACCACAAACTCAAATGATAGTTTATAAAAACGTTGTCAAGGTCAAACAGAGAACTCGGAACCTCATAACAAAGCAGTGCTAACTTACTTTTTTGTTAGTTTAGGATTGGTGAGCAACTACGTTCATCTTTGATTGGAAAACTTGCTGACTTCTTAGATTGGATTTCTATACGCCGCGATTTCCAATTACAATATTCATACAATCCAGGCAAATTCAGGCACTGAAGAATGGTTATTGTCTGTAGGAAATTAGGTTGTGCTTGATTTATCGCTTCCACAATGTAAGTAAGCGCTGCTCTTGCTCTAGTCGCAAATTTAATTTCAAGAAATTCTATCCGTAGTCTGTCCTAAATTAATACTGTGATAAAGTTTTCCTGAGCTTTGTCAAAAAATTCTACCAATCTCCAACGGAGGATGTAATAGATTCGGTAAAGAATTGCATTACTCTGTGGATACTAATCTCAGTTTTAGATGATCGTGTCGGTGCAGACAAAAAGTTTTTTTATACTGATGTCGCCACGTAGGCACAAACCTAAATATAGTAGACGACAAGGCTTTTAGATTCGTTTACATTTTTTGCCGATAGTCAGAAAACGGCTATAAAACCGAGAACCAGAGGCATGAGGACAGAGACGGATCTGAAAATTTTCAAACATCTTCCCTTGCAAGTCTGGATGAGATGAGAGATGACTGAATCAAGTTGTTGAAAGAACGTTGATTGTTATAGGTCTCAAATCTCTGAAATGTCCGCAGGGAACAACTCTCGCGTCTTACCATCAATTCTCGATGTTCCATCTCTGCTGTGGGAATTTCATTAGGTTTATAATGTTCCTTATTTTGGCAGTTGTTGCTGCACCTAAAGGTATAGATGTCCCCTTGTTAATTCTTTCTTGGTTTGACACCGTTATGAATAATTTTACAAATTATAGGATATGGCACGTTAGTCAGTTCCGCTGTTTTTTAAGGATACTACTATTGTCGCTATCTCCCATTTCACGTAACAGTCCATTATGAACATTAATACAAATCTGTTGAGCATCAACAGACAGGCACATTCTTTCAGAAATACGACGGTATTTCTGACTATCATTGCTGCTATCGTTACTACTATCAGTATCATGCGCACCCACAGTATCACTGTCGGAAAGCCTTTGCTGCAAGATGGGTTTCCATCATTCATAGCACCTTTGTACATATAATTTTTGATGTCCGTAGGCCGCTGACCTGCCTGAGCAAATCGTTCCCAAGGGCGGAAAAAATTCGAATCGCACATAATTATTATTCAAGACGTCGTCCGTCAACCTCCATTGTCTGCATAGAACTGAAAATATATTCCCGAGTACCGCTCTGTTGCATCGTGCTGATTTACCTGCTTGCGGGGCTCGGGAGGGGGGTGGAGAGGTTCAGGTCTTCATAGCGCAGTCACATTACGTCAACTTGCTGCTATGACAGTATCGAAATAATGCGATTGGGCGCTTGGGGCCTAATATCCCAGAGTCCGGAAAACGACCCCTGCACCACGACCTCAACGGAAACAGAAAAGCGAATAACACAGAATAAAGAATAAGTAACGTTCTAGAGGAGGGAACCTTGAGTGGCCTTGAAGAAGATATGTTTTATGGGAAGCCAACTAACGGAGAAAAACTTCTGAGTTTTTTGCTGATCGTCAACACCATACTGAATCGCTGAGAAAGAAAGGTATAATACGAGTAAAATTACACAATCAATAAACTATTAAATTTGCAAAGAGAGAATTATTGAAAAGGGGTTTGGCCTAGGAATGGGCACTCTATTATCAATGAAGAGAAATTCAAATTAAGGATAAGTGATAAATAGTAAAAAAAAGGTTACGTGATTTTGGCACGTGACATATTGTAAACCTGAATAATAAACTACCTACAGGACATACGTGCGCTGAACAATTTCAGATTAAAAAAAGCCATTACAAGAACATTGCTTAGCGAGTGTTTTGGCAGAACTAACGTGTCTTTAAATTATGTGTTTCCCCAGGTGCTCTGTTTTTTACTCATTTACGTATATATTCATTCATGCTTGTTTATGCCTTAACATTTTTATATATACTGAGTGATAAAAAAAAGTAAACACCTACGTATGTGTATCCAATTTTGATAATTTTTGACATATATGTTCAATGTCCCTTACTAGTAAAAGGTTGAATTGACTACAGAAGCTGGTTCAATAATGTGTTGATTATCCACTCATTGACACGCCTAGGCATCGTGCTGATAAAGTGGTCGATATCCTGTTGGTGTATCTCATTCCAGGCTACAAGGGAAACTGTTGATGCTATGTTGATCCATGAAGGCTAGTGATGCTCTGTCAACATGTGGTCTGGCATTGTCATACTGAAAAATCGAGTTTTGGATGGTGTTTAGGTATGGAGTAAGATGAGGCTCCAATACTCTGACTCACTTGTTGTTCATGGCAGGATGAATCGATATGTAAACTCAGTATACATTGTTGTATACGTCTAAGACATTTCCTCATATTGCGACTTACCATATATAACTTTACGTATCAAATAATCAATAAATATTGCAGTTACAAATTGCACCCCAAATTCGGACTCGGGGACCTGTAAGCATGGCAGTTAAGGTCCACACCTTTTCGCTTACTTCGTAAACTCGCTTAATTATTTTATATACCTTATAAAATAAATGGGTTTAACAAAAACCGGCCTTTTCGTTGCGCATAAGTTTGCATTATACCCAAGATGAGGACGACCCGACGCGCGACGGTTCATGTTCAAGAAAGCATCATCAGCTTTTTATATGGTTCGAAAAAAGTACACCCTGTATCTAATAACATTTTTTATACGACTTCAGCATTTTGTCTATTTTCTTGGTTATAAGAGAAAATGCGTTTTTTCAGATTTTTATTATTTTTTTAGTACACGGTTACCGAATATTCTTATTATTGTGCATTGTTAATACTGAATTATTATCGGCAAAGATGCCAGGCGGTTATTTTAGCAAAAGAGAGAAGAAAAAGAGTTCGACATGCTGACGCGCTACATTTTGTGCAACAAAAATACTGCTGAAATGTATCTTGACAGATTTCCTTAAGGAAGGCAGCCAAGTAAGTCCCCTTTCTTAGAGTTGCTCGAAATTTAATTGAATATGGTTCATTAAAAAAGCTTGTTACGTCTTGAAAAAAAGGAATCTTTAGAGGAAACTCA